CGGTGGGATTTAACAAAATTTGGGAGGAAGTATGCCGCCGAAACCCTGTCCCTTTTGTCGATGAGGTTGCAGCTCCCATCTAAGTTAAATCCTACCACATGCGCAATCTTTTAGCATTCTACGCATGTAATTAAACGACACAGACAAAGTGAAACGAGGAATCGAAATATCTCTGAACAGAAGCGTCTGTTTATTCCATCAATATCATCTAACCCCTTGTATTTCATCAACATTTCTTATATGATATCGCGACTATTTAGTAAGTTATTGATGTCAAGTGATACATTATTTTCCGAGTTAAGTTACTAAGCAAAAAACTTACACAGAAATAACTGAAGAAAGAACTGAAAAAAGCTTTAAAATACTAAACTGATGTCGCTAATATCGTTTATGTACATAATTTTCGCAACAACATTCAGATAATCGTATTCATCTAACAGAAAGAAAAAATAAAATGTAATTTCTTTTCCATAAACAGTACAACAACAAAAAATACTGTTCGCTTCTTCATTTCAAAAGCCGGTTTCGAGGGAGGAAAGTATTATTTTAGTAACATCTTATAACCATTTCTTGTAAACTTAACTCCATAGAGAACTTTGTTGAGGGCAAATGTTTTCATTTTCAGCTGGTACATTAACACAAATCAACTAAATTTTTAGCTGTTGGGCAACCAAAAGGGAAGAAAATACTACAACTACTGTCCTTGAGTTAATTTTAAGAATAGACCTTCCAGGAAGAAAACAAACGACAAAGCTTTCTATGCAAACCTCGTTTTCATGGTCTTTCCGGAACCTAGAGGTCCGCGAGATGAAGTGGGTCTTGGGAACGAGTTGCAAAATATTTTGAAACCAAATGTCTTAGTGTCTAATGTCTAAGATTCCTCCACTGGCGGAGGAACTGATAAGTTACGAAATAACAGGAGAGCTATTTCTTTCACGGAGACGGTAGAGACTCTCGTAACAAAAAACAAAAAAAAAAACCGAAAAGTTCTACCTCTTCAATACTACTTCTTATGCTCTGTTGAAGTACATCATTCGAAATTAACAAAAGCTCTTGATGTACCCAAAAATTCAGTTATACAGTAAAAAAAGCTGTTATCTTCTTAACAGAAAACGAGCTTAATTCATCATCACACGACCATCAATCACTTCCCGGCATCCTTTACCAAACTTATTCGTTTGAACCAAGGTTTGCTTTCACCAGTCGCCGCCTCAATGGCCGCCAGCCTATGTTCTAACTCCTGAGAACGACATTCCGCCTCCACTAGAGAAAGCTTGGTCTGCGCAAGCTCCAGTTCCAGTTCCCTCAGGCGCTGCTCGGAGTCTACCAGCTTCACACTTGTCTTGAATGCGGCGATTCCGCCTCCACCCTCCAATGTAACATGACCTTCCTCAGAGAAGACAGCGGCGCAGTTTTCACATGATCCTATTCGTCTCTGGAAAAGAAAATAATTCGCGAGAGGTTTTTAAGCAATTCTGAACAGTTAACGCCTGAAGGTGACTAAAAGAAGCTAAAACCAAATCAGAAGTTAATGAAACTCAGAGGAGGAACACGAAAATAATAGTGCAAAGCGGTATTTTTTTCAGGAGTTGCGAGTACTCTCGAGAGATCAATTTCAAGTCTCTGCATATTAACCCAAACTGGACGAAAAAATGGTAAGAAGTGATTTTTATCTCTCTTCTCTTCTGTCATCCACTTGCACCCCATTTTTACAAACATGAAAGAGTTCTATTGGAGAAGAACAAATACCTTGACCTCCAAGAGTTCCAGCCGCAGATCTTCCTTCAGCTCCTCGCTTCTTTCCTCCTTTTCTTTGCAAATCTACAATGAAGAACAAGTACAAGACAGTTATTGACCACTAATTTAGCAGCAATGTACCCAAAGAAACGATGTCCCTCTCCATATGCCTACTAACCTTTTTGTATTGTTCAACAACAGTAGTATGTCGCTTCTTGTCCTCTTCAGCCTGTTCAATAGTCTGCCGATACATTTCCTTGACCTGAAGAATTATAAGAGCGTATTAGTTTGTCGTGTCTGAAGCGTTTGTTCATAAACATATTTTCATTTCGTATACCTGAGAGCCCTCGACTTTCAGTTTTTCCCGTTGATCCTCTGATTCAGCCAGTGATATGGTTGTGTTGCTCAACGCCTTGGACAACTCTTCCACTTTTTCTTCTGCCTAGTAAAGAAAAGAGCAAAAGAAAAACGTGATTTGACAGGACTAAGAGTCTCAGGAAATCGTATTTTTTTACATCTGCTACTAAAAAGCCGTTTTAAAAGCAACCCCGTAACCTGCTTACGCACACACGGCTTTGTAAAGGTAAACCGAAATAGCGGAGACCACAATTCGCAGTTAACCGGCATTCTGTGATGTAAAGTTTCTAATATTTTCAAATAGATCGCCAATAGATTGCAAAAGGACGTGTGAGACTCTGTTAGGTCAAACCAAAGAAGCCGTGTTGCTGAAAAAGATTTCGATAGCGAAAAACATCATATTATAAAAGCAAAAAATAACCGGTCGAGATAAAGGACAAATACCTCTGCCAGCTTGCCGTGAAGTTCTACTTTATTACTGACCAACTCGTGGGCAAGGCTATCGTTTTCTCGTTCAAGTCTCATGTTATCTTCAAAAAACCTCTTGTTTTCACGCTGTAGAAAAGCATCGAAAGAAAGAGAAGCGACCAGTTAGGCAACAAGCCAACAATAAATCCGAAAGAAAACACAACAATCAAACTAGAAGAATTATTTCTGTGACTCACCGTTAGCCTCTCGACCGGATCTTCAAGCTGTGCCTCTTGTTCTTTTTGCAGCAAGTACTCCTTTTCGTATTTCTTCATCTTTTTCTCTGTCACCTGAAATTTAAACCGGATAATATTTTCAGAGAGAAAACCTTTAAAAGAAACATTAAGGGCTATCATCTCTGAACAATGGAAGCAATTTTCAAGCAAGTGGCAAAAATTGGTCCCAGATGCACATCGAAGTATCAACTTATATAAAAAATAAAACAAATTGAATTTAAGGCGCAAAAATCCATACCCGAAAGCTCAGAGCAGAGGTTATGAGCTTCTTGTACTCATCTTCGTCAAGGTATTTTTTAGGCATAGACACTCTGAAGTACTTTAGTATGGCCTCAAAATCCATTTGGATGAGCTCCCTACGAGAAGCCTGTTTAAGACAAGAATAAGACAAAAGAAGCATAATTCATAGATGATATATAGCATCTTGAGGTGGTCAAATGGTTTCGATGTTTTAAAACACCAGTTCTACGATGGAACGTAGCTTTCACACTTTTTAGTTAGCTTCAGTGGAAATGGTATCCAAAAATGACCAACCATGTCTCGACAAGTTGTAATAATTTTTCCAAACATATCTGGATATCATAGCAACAACAGAGGCAATGAGAACTTAAACCTTAAATTTCAACTTAATATTTCAGTAACTGGAAAACAAGGAGATAGGCCCCCGTTTATCAATATTATCCAATTTACCACATCATAATTTATCTTTCTGCAAAGTTTTTTAAAAGTTTGTGCATACGGTTCAGAGCCACCTTATTTTTTGATAGTTTGAAGTAGCTCATATTAAAACAGTTTAAAAATTCAAAACAGCTTAATATTCCCAAAGATCTTCAAGACGAGAATAAACATGTCACTCAAGGTAAAAGTTAGCTAAGACTCGACCGTGAAATCGCCTCACCAGCTTAATACCCTGCTAAGATCACATAACTTATCTCGTTAAATAGACTTGGTAAAAAGAAGCACGCACAGAGATTTCATACCTTGAGAAGGCCTAAAGCAACTTGAAAAATAACTCTCATTCCCTGGAAAATTAAAAAAAGACAGTGATCAGTATGAAATATTACACTGACCAACAAACAAGAACGATCTATACTCGTTCTTTGCAGGGTATATTTTAAAATGTTGCCTGAGATTAACAGAATGATACTATTAGTTGGTATCTAAATAGGTTCGACTATAAATGTCCGACCAGAAAAAGAGTAACCTACTACCCTTATGCCTACTAAATGCTTTCAGGCTGCTTAGAAACGTTTCAACCAAAAGCCGCAGACTCAATCCATTCCTCAATCAATTCCTAAATAAATTTTCGCTATTCTTAGCCGGTTCCTCTTTGACCTTACTGGAGCTAATGTCAATTGAGGGTCGAAAGTATCCGACATTGTATGGACTTTGCCTTACTTTTTGGTGTCACAAACCTGACCATCCTCTCAACCAATAAGATATACAACTGAACCTATCACACCTCGGTATCTTGCGTTTTCTCGCTCCCAGTCTACTAGTTTTAACTTTCAGTTGTAATGTAAGAGCGCTTTTCTGTAGAGTTTAAAAAAGCTAACACAAAAGTAATCTCAAGAGCCAATCAAAACAAAGGAAACTCTCTGAGAGCGAGCCGCGATTGGTTTTAGTTTTGTATTACTGGTTGAGTGGTGGCGCCAATTCTCTGCACCAATCACAAAGTGAAGAAAAGCAAAAGCGAAACAATCTGATTAGTCACTTTGCTTACTGAGGTTGCGAGTTTAGGACACTCAATCGAAAGGCACTCTATCCCACACCACATTCTGACTTACATGACATAGAAAGAGATCCATAATACAGTACACCATTGATAATGGAAACCTGGCTGTAAACAAAGTCAGGAACCACTGAGAGGCGTACATGTGAGTCTCTATACTATTGTACTGAAAATGGCTGTGGAGGTCTGGCATCGAGTCCTGTGAAACAAAGTGGTGTCAACTCAATGTCAATCTCCTACACCCTAACATCAGTATGCATCTTCTCCACACTGTTCTCTTTACATTACCTTAAGTGCTGACAAGGAGAATTTATTTAACAATCGAGAGCTGCTTTAGTTGGTGATCATTTCTTTTATTCACGTAACCTTAATGTTTGATTCAAAGGGAATATTGTGAGGAGAAATTAGATGCCAGTCAGTCTTATGGACTCAAGGGGTCTCTATAAAACATTATTGATTTCTTTTTCTTTAATTATACAACAACGTATAAAACTCTTAAGTAAAAGAAAGTTGGTATTCAAGAGTTTCAAAAATAGCCCCACTGGACAATATGAAATCTCACCTCAATCATTCTGTCCAGCTGGAAAAACTTCAGATGCAGCTGTTCAAAATCTTGTTTGAAAATATCTCTCAGCCCATAGTCACTCATTATCTTCACCAACAGTGCAAATGCTTGCTCCTCAGGAAGCTGAGAAAGAAAAAAAGGTCCCCATAGATGCTACTTAAACTCAGTTAAGCTATGACAGTACTGAGCCACTTGGCCAGGCTTTAATATTAAAATCTGGTGTTCAGTTAGGGTTTTTATAAGGCAGGAAAGAATAGAGATTTATCCAACTACTACACAGAATCCTCTAGCTAAATTTCCAAGGCTTAATTGGGCTGATTTTTATTCACAAGAGGAGCTGTTATGTAATATCTTCTCAAGATAATGATTCCCAGGATGTAATGCTTACATGTAACAGAAGCACTGCTGACAGGAATGACAGCCCTTGACAGTAGCCTACTTCCTCATCGTAAACAGAGTAAGCCTGACAGAGAATGATGACAATTAGTTCACAACAAGTTCACAGGTTATCAGCAGTAATTTTACATTATATGTGTAGCTAAGTTCTAAATCATACATGAATAAAAGCTTTTTTTTCTGATTATTAAGATGCTTGGTAGCTCTTTCTCTAAGTTTGTTAAACCATTGATAGACTAGAGGATGACAGCTGGTATTATTCAACAACTGAGGTATATGAATAAAGATAATTTCAAGTTAGGTACATCTAGATGACACACTCCCCTTGACAAGTTACTTGTTCTGCTCACTTATGCGGTGACTAATGTACTCAAACTTTTCAATATTGGCAGGAAAAAACATTTGTCCCAAAAAAAAAATTCAATGAGTCATTTCTTAAAAAGCTGCAAAAAAATCTACACAGCTCCATTAAACTTATTAGCCTTTTAATATGCTTTTAAGAAATTTATTGAAGTAAAATATTCACTCAATGACAATTATTAAATACTGCTCTCAAATAAATGCCAATCTTGATTGAATGCCACAGATAGGGCACAATTCCCAGTAAACACTATGCTTGAATAAATGGTGCACCCAATCAGAACAATGTGGAATATATTCAAGGATTAAAGGGAAAAAACTCCTACCATATACTTTAAAATACACAATTATGGAAAATTCATGTCCAAAAGCAAGACATTGGAACTAAAACACATTTCAAATCCACACAGAATTTTCAAATTAGTTATTTTCAAATTGTCAAGGATTTAAGAAAAACAATTTTAAAATATGCACTGCCCTTGAATAAGTGTTTGCAGTGTAAAAAAAAACTGAAAATTATATAAACCCTCAATATTCATAAGAGTAAAACAGCATCAAAAACAAAAGTCTTACTTTACTGATTTTATACAATGTTTCCTGACCCTCTCCTCCAGTGCTTTTAAAATACTCATGGGCAGGGAAGGTACGGTGAATGTCCCACTTGATCACCTGTTCTGTTGGAGATTCCTGATCACAAGAAAATAAATTTCAGCATTCAAAACATGAACAGTGTGTAGAATGGAATATTTCTTTTTCATGGAAGAATTCTGTGTAACATTTCTGTCACCCTTGGGTACTTTATGCTATAACTAAAATATCCTTCAACAGATCACTTCCACAGTTCTCATAACTTCTTCACTTGCTAGCGTATTGGGATAAGTTGGGAGAAATAGCCTGCTGATTGATCTACCTTCTTGATGAAATGTTTATAACCCTCTATGAGTTCATCATTTTCCTTCACACCGGCCATCATCTGCCAAACTTGTCCACGGAGAGGATCTGGTATGCCCTAAGTTTAAAAGATAATAAAGTTAACTATGTAACTCACTCGCAATAACAAAGTCTTAAAATTTATTTGTTTTGGTATTACAGCAGATTCTTGCTTAACAGATAACCAATTTTTGCAAACATGCTACTATTTGAGCAAAATGTGTCAAATTATTTTGATGTTGCATTTGTGGCAGATGAATGCCCTTTTTCAATGTGAATGCTGAATAGCAGGCTTCAGGGATGGAAAGAACATAAAAGATCATGTTTCAACCAATTTTTCCCTGATATTAGCCCACCTTCCTCACAAGTCCTTGCAGTTGTTTTGGTTTAATAGTGATGTCCTTCCATTTGTTTAAAAGATCTGACCAGCTGCCTAGCTCTTCCTCAGTGCAATCCTTTTGAACAGCACCTGATCCTGACAGCAGTGGCTCGTCATCTTCATCATCATCTATACATGAGATTTAACAAACATAGAGCTTTACACAGATTACTGTGGCTGAAACAGGAATGTTCAACTCATTATAGTCCTAAAACACCACAAACAGAGGCAAATCAAATTTTGATGTGTGAGTCAACTTAAAATTTACCATTCTTGATGCTCAATCCTTAGAAATTTATTCAACACAAGATTTAATATATTCTCCATCACCTTCCATACATCATTTCATTCAAGACTGCAATACCATCATACATCAGAAATCATTACAATATAAAGTTTACAAGTTCATTGGTTCAACTTGGATGCCAAAATTTGAGTACCAAGAGACCAGTAGACTTAAGGAACTATTCTCATTGCTAAGATACAATGAAATTAATTATCTTCTGGTATAAACAAAGTAACTGAAGATCTGACATTTGTTATACAAGTAGTGCTGACCATCAGATGTCTTGTTCCCTCCAGATGATTGTCTATTCAGAGGAGGCTGCCTTTTGGTCAAAGTTTTGGAAGTTTCGTAACTAAGTTCAGTTTTGATACTTTTCACTTCACATCCTTTTTCTCCAGTGTCAGTATCAAAAACCTATCAAAAAAAAAAAAGATTCTATTAACATACTATATTTCTTCAAATGTGTGTTCCCTTGGCTCTTTGTTCCAGTGACTTTGCTTTCATGACAAATTCAAAAAGCTGGGAGCCCAAGATGTCTAAGACAAGAGCATTTGGGCATCAAGTGATTTGCTTTGGAGCATAGCTTTACTCCTTGTTTCAATGAAGCAATACTACAAACACCATTTCCCCCTTAGTGGCTTAAATATAGTTAAATGGCAGCCAAACAGATAAGCCATAATTGAACTTGAAGACAAGAATAAATATTGCTTTTACCCTGCAAGAAATATTTTAACCTCTATTGATCAATTGGAGCTTTTTTCTTTCCAGTTGAGTATTCTTTCATACAATTTCTCTGTTTGTGAGGTTTACAAAGGCATTTGAATGAGAAATTTTCACCTTTGTCCCACCCCCAGATATACATAGAGAAGACAATAGCAAGCCCTTTAACTCCCAGAAGTGATTAACATGTAACTTCTCCCTATAATATCCATACATTATCCAGCAAGCAGGTAATGAGAAAACTCAAACTTATCAGGTAGAAGTAGTTATCTCCATCTTACTCCAAGTTCTTGTATTTAATTTACAAGGAAACATGTAGCAGCCAGAAGGGAGAATTAACAATCAGATCTTGGGAGTTAAAGGGTTAAAGGACAGAACCTGACTGATCAGGAGAGGAAGGGGATACTGCATTTAATCCACATTTGAAGCATAAATCAATGAGAGTGGTGAGAGTAAGTGAGTGAATTTTAGTTCCATACCAAAAACTCATAGTATGACCACCTTACCTCCTTCAGTTCCATAACATAAACTTCATGGAATTTTGGTTTACTCGGGCTCCAGAAGAATTTTTCTCCAGTGGGAAAAATTTTGGCCTTTGTCTCCAAAATGAAGCGGACTGGTTCTGTTACTCCAGTGACAACTAAGTCAACAGCTATTGTCACAAATAGTCGAGAGTCTGAAAAAATGAAATATTTTCACTCAACATTTTCATTTAAGTTAGCTTTACAATGAAACCTAAATTGAGTAGACAATAACAGCCTCAGGACCCTTGGTACTGTCTGCTCAATTACAGGGTGTCTGTCTGATATAGTTTCTAGTAAACTGCAACACAATTAGAAATGTAACTTCTCAGTTTGTTACTTAATCACTGAAAATCACTGAAAATTTAGAGCTTCTCTTTTCTTGTGTATGCTCTGTTTTGGCAGATTACCAGAGAAATCTGAATGTAAACATAGTTAGGAACTCAGTAGGTGTATTTTGGCTGGTTGTTCAACAGGCTTTGCTATTATGATGATGAATAACAGTTCTTTACTTAAGCTGAGAGGTAAATAGTACTTTTCAGCCTATTAACATAGGTTTTAGATTAAAACAGGATCCTAATGCAGACATCCATCAGACAGATTTGTTGTGTACTAAATATGAGAAAAAAAAGGCTGGGACTTAACCATTTAAACTCTAACATCAGTATGCATATTCTCCATACTGTTCTCTATACATATCCTGAAGTGCTCACAGGGAGAATTTGGTTAAAAATCAAGAGCTTTGTAAGTTGTTGATCATTTCCTTGTTTCTTGTGACCTTAATGTTTGATTCAGGGGTCATATTGTAAGGAGAAATTAGAAGCTGGTCTCTCTTAGGGGTTTTAGGATTAATAGGTTGATGCTTGCTTTTATCAGAGTAATGTATACTGCTTAACCCTCTACACCCTAATATCAGTATGCATATTCTCCATACTTTTCTCTGTAAATTTCCTGTGGTGCTCACAAGGAGAACTTGTTTAATAATTGTGAGCTTCTTTAGCTGGTGATCATTACCATTATTCTCATGACCTTAATGTATGATTAAGGAGTGATATTTTAAGGAGATGCTTGTCACTCTTTTTTGTCGAGGGTTAACCCTTTAACTCCCATGAGTGACCAAGACAGAATTTTAACTTACAATAACAATACAATAACAATACAATAACAATACAATAACAGTACAATGACAGTACGATGACAATACAATGACAATACAATTACAATACAATAACAATAAAATATCAACCAGATAAGTTATGAGAATAAAGAAAAATATCAATTTAGGGATAATTGGTTAATCCAATACTAAATTCACTGAACAAACATTATAAGAAGTGTATTGTTGACAATAAGGAGAATTAGAAATTTGATCTGAGATTCAAAGTGTTAATACCAGTAGCACTTTAGATTCATGCAAGAAAGTTAGAATCTTGAGTCAAATTAAATTCCTCATAAACTGCCTGTTTTTCCACTGTTATGAATTCCATGCAGAAACATTTCCTATTAATATATAACATTAAAATAAAACTTGTCCAACTAAGATTTCTACCTTTAGGGGTCTCTGTGTTTAACACTAACAAGTCACGTACAGCTGGATCCCAAAAACCAGCGATGAAATATGTTTTGCCACCCTCTCCAACCTCCATTTTCACCTAAAATAGATTCACACTTATTAGAATCCATGAGTACTGAGCTTCTCAAAAACATACATGCAATTTAGTCATAACCTTTTATATCTTAACTACCAAATGAGTTTCCTTTTTCAATTAAACTTATAAATTAAGGCAAATTGCTATATATAGCTGGAATTTTTTCCCCATCAGTGTACACACTCATTGGATACTTCAAAATTACACAATATCTAACAATGAAGCTGTTTCTGGTCAAAAGCCTTCAATTGTGGAAATTGTAAAAACCCAATATACAGCAAAAGGGTAACATTGCACTGATACCCGCAAATGTTGACCAGTGATTGTCATCCCATGCAAACAGAGCATGACTGAAGGGGACATGGAGGCCATGAGACATTTCTGACATTGTAAAACTTTATGCTCTCATGGGCTTACATATAATTCATCGGTAAAATTTCTAATTTTGTTTTCACATTGCATGATCTCAAATCTTCTTTGTGTTCTATAGCAAATCATTTATGACTGGTTCCTCAGGGAACAGTTAATTCTATTTGTTTTTCCTATATCACAATGTTTTTCTCAGCTCCTTTTAGGAAAACACTAAGATTCACCAGTCTTGAAGTGTTACATATTATCTGATGATTTTTGACACGTCTGCAGGGCGTGAAATTAACTTTTTTTTCTGATAGCCACTTGGCTCCTAAATTCTTCAAAGTGGTAGCCAATTCAAAAAAAAGTTGGTCGCCATTTTCAAAGACAAACAAAATCTTTCTTTACGCTGTCAGCGTTCTAGATAGACCTTCCAAAATTAAGTTAGGGAAAAGATCAGCAACGTGCTACAAAGTGGACACTAGGATGGATGATATACAACGTTCAGGCTAATCTAAATCCAAGATGGCGTCTAGTTATCGATCGAGATGCATGTGCTACGTTTTGGAAAAAAACTTAAAGTGAAAGTTTGCCGCGGATTTATCTTTGCAAATCTTTTTAATTCACTATATCTCTTGGTAAGGTTATGATGAAACGTTCTAGTCGCCAATCTGGCGACTAACTTTCAGGATTTGGTCGCCAAAGTGAAAAATTTAGGCGCATTGGCGCCTGTATTAGGCGCAATTTCACGCCCTGGAGTCTCGTAATTTGCCAAGAGACTATAATTATCTTCCAAAAAATATTGTGTAGTCATAATGGAGGTGCAATCATTTTCACACTTGAGCTCATTCATATAATACTATAGCTAACCTCATTTAATAGGTGCATGTCAGAATATCGAACATTCTTTCCTGGACAGATAAGAAGGCCAAAGCACCTGGAAGAGTAAAGGGAAAACATATTTTAGAGTTTGTGACAATGAGAGGGAGGGGGGCATGCTAGCCTTAAAGTCAAACTGCTTGGAGATAAAGATTGCAGTTTGAGTCGAAGCCTCTAAAGGGAACCAATATAGCATCATGTTAAAGAAGCTATGTCATCAGTTATCTGTGTTGAAAATTGGTTTAGCCTTTCCTCTGTGGTGGTCATCTATCTTAATTAAAGATCTCTGTACACTTCCCTTTGTATACACTAAGCCAGTTTTCTATGTCATGAGAAAATTTTAAAAAATTGGGATATTTTGCCATGGGAAAGGTTCCTGACTACCATCAGAATTTTAAACTGTAGGGTTTTAATCAATAAGTGTCCTTAATAGAACCATTGTTACACTTCAAACCAAGTAGGACAGAGTTATTATTAGTGACATAATCATTCTTCTCTTTTCAGCAACTGGGATAGTTACAAACCTCTCTACAATAAGATGTCTGTTAGTCAACTGCTGCACTGTAATGAACACTTTCTTTCTCAAGTCTTGTCGTAATTTGAAGCAGTTTTTGTCCCTTGCTGCTGAAGAAAATCCCTTATTGTCTTCCTCAAGAATGTCAAGAGTCAGGTCAAATTTGAACACAAGGTTGCTGACACCAGTGACTGTTGTTGGGGGATCCAAGGATGACTGTTGTGACTGTTGCTTTCTCTTTGCAGGAAAGTAAATAATAAAACAAATTTTTAAGGAAACGATCACACACGTGAAAAGTTAAACATTAAACAAAGGGCAAGATGTTCTCAGAATAATGGAATTGACCTTGAAACAATCAAGCAACACTCAGTGAAGAAAATTTGTCACAGAAAAAGCATGCTGTGTAAAAAGGGGAAAATTTTTCAAATGACACCGGTGGACCAAACTGATCAACGTATTTCATTTGAACATCAAATCTATGGAGACCAACAGCTCATGCAAGTTTATAAGTCTTCAACAAAATGTAACTTGCACTCATTCAACTCAAATGAAAGAGAGATGGTTTTCAGACCTGTTCCTCTGACAAAATAACAACATCTTCATTAGTCCGTAAAATTCACCACTTTCCTTGTTCTATCTACTTGAATGTACAAATTAAACTCAAGATCATGGGGTTACCTCAGTCTATGTGGCACTCAACATAAAAAGTTTTTCATATTGCAAATTCAAATTTTGAGTATCATCATAAAAACTGTTACTCAAATTAAGGAAATAACATACCTTCCTATGCCTTCTAAAGGAGAGAGCAAATGTTCTCAAGATCTTTCCAGCCTAGATAATTAATTGAATTCATATTATTACACAACCAAAGATTCCTTAGTGTTAAAGAGAAACATTTATGGGTAAATAATTTAAAGAAATACGATCCCATAAATCTTGCAATACCCATAAGTATCTACAACTTGACTTGGATTTCATTGGAATTACAAGTTCATGTCTATACCATGGCCAACTCTCAGAGGTCACAAGGTTCATAACTGCAATTGCTTTTCCTAAATTTCTGTGGCATGAAGCTGTGCAGAGTATGTCTACTCCTCTAGTACAGGATGACAGTTCAAAATGAGTAAACCCCCTACATTTTGCCAGGTTCCCCAAACAGTTTCCTGCTATCCCTGGGGGGAGAGGAGAAAGAGTAACTTTATGACCCCCCCCCCCCCTTCCCCTTCTGCAAGGCTTGACTCTGAACCTCCAGGTTTAGAGGCAAGTGCACTAAGCATCAGGCCACCTGTTTCCTATATTCACAAAGGGAATACTCCTGAAGCCTTTAAACCCTAGCATTGGTATGCGTTTTCTCCATACTGTTTTCTACACATTTCATAAGGTGTTGACAAGGAGAATTTTTTAACAATCAAGGATTTTTCAGTTGCTAATAATTTCCTTTGTTCTCCTGGCTTAAGTGTTAAATTCAGAAGTGATACTGTTGGGAAAATTTTGATGCTTGTCAGGGGTTAAAACCCTTTCATGGCATGCTTGCTGATAATCCTACTTTGGAATCTACATCTTACTAATAAAGCTTAAATGTACCTTGATCGGAAACAACTTCTTAACCCTTTCAATCCCAGAAGTGACTGACATATAACTTCACCTTTTAACAACCTTACATTGTTCATCAAATAGGAAATGAGAATTCTTAACCTTATCAGGAAGAAGTTGTTGTCTTGATCTAACACCAAATTCTTGTAACTAATTTACAAGGAAATATGTAACAGCTAGGGGGAGAGATTAGCAATAAGATCTTGGAAGTTAAAGGGTTAAGGAAAACTATGAGAACATGGTTGGTAGAGAGTGAAACTATAAACAGAATTTCCCAAAGAGTTGAGGAACCAAACAAACCCATCCAGGGGAGAAATATCCAATTTTCCCAAGTATATTTTTTTGAGACAAGAAAATGGCCTCACCTTCTCTGGATCTTTGCATCTGAATACATGGCAATGGAAAATCTCAGAATCACCATGGACAGTATTGAAGGCAAAGCAGTCACTTTCACTTCCCTCAACATCACCACGGCCACAAAACAGGATCCTCTGTATTTTATAAGTAGCAATGTCAGCCTGTGTCTCTGGGTCTTTGAGTCTTATCATCTTGTCTGATGTGGAACCAACATACAACAAAACATCAATGGTGACCTCTGTTTGTTCTCGCAAGATAGCCATTGTCCTTTTCAATTCAATTTCACTCACTGGAGCATTCACAGTGGAGGATCCCAAGTAAGTTATCCCATCATATACAACAGCATCATCATCACTCTCTTCATCTGATTGTCCAGGATCAGTACTTGCTCTGGGTTGCGCTGACTCTCCAGCATCAAGCTTTGTACCATTTGATGCTTGAGTAGTGTTGGTGTTATCACCATGGATTCTTCCATCTACTGTTTGTGAATCACCTTCAGCAATGCACGGATTCAAAACATGACAATTTTTTTCATCAGGTATCAGTTCAATACTGCCATTTACTGCTAATGAATTGTCATTACTGAGAGGAGTGTTCTGAGAATTGCTCTCTGAACCTGGACTAAAGAATACCTCTGGAACTGATGCAGAGCTATGAGAAAAGTCCTTTTTTGCATCCTCCACCAAATGTTGCAGCTCTTCCTCTGTTGGTCCCTTCTCCAAGGTAGCCTCCATGTCAGGGATTATCACATCTGCAAAGCTACTCACACTACTCCCCTGAGATTTACAAACTGACACGCCTGAACCTGAATCAGATTCAACATCAGGCGTAGCAAGCATAATGTATTCATGATCACTGTTTAAAGACTTTAAATCTGGGCTGCGAGGTTGCTCTGGACTACTGGAATTGCTTCTGCCTTGGCCACTTTCGCTTGCTTTCTGATCAGCCATGAATAATCTTGTCACACGGTTTAGGCAAATATGTCTGAAGTCAGCTGTTCACAATTAACTAAGATCCTTAAAAGATTGAAGCTGTCTTTTAACCAAAGGAAATAACTTTCGTTTTTATCGTTTAAAGGATAGGCAAATCCTCATTATAAAGGTAGAGCAGGATTTATTACAGATCAAATGAAACCCTTCGTAGTGTATCGAATCAGGTCTGAGATTCTAGATCTGACTCCGGTATGGCCGTCGGTTTTGAGAGTGAAGACAAAATGAATGTTAATCCAAACTGACTGATCAATAGAGAGTTCAAATAAACGATGAACTTCTTTTCCACCAAAGATTTTTTCAATCTGACGACCCTTTTCGTCGATCTGAGAGAGAAAAAGTAAAAATTATCAGATAGCAGATGTCTTTGTTCTTAAATTTAGACAATTGAACGAGAACATGAAACTCAGATCTATTAAAAGCCAACATTTCTTACCTTTTTTTAAACGACGAGTGAAAAGGAAGCTTCTACCTTCCCAATAATTTTTGAAGTTTCAGCAATGGCTAGCGAATTAGACAACAGTCAAAAATCGATCAAGTCTTGTTCACAATATATGACGTCAAGAGACAAAAGGGGAGGAAACAGAATTACTTGTCTTTCAATACAGCCCATTAGGTGCACCTTTCATATTGCTTTACTTTCACACCAATAAATTTCCCTAAAATAGACAAAATCGCTTCACTGCAGCCCACACAGACGAATTAACATAGGATGGACAGATCAAAATAGAGAGCAGACAGCTTTTAACAGTGCCCGCGGTGCTTGCCGGGACTTTGGGATACTACAAGCCCATTACATGATAAAAGGTTGTGGAATTTCAATATGGCGGCGCGGCATGTGCTGCGAACTCCTTGGAATATCTCGCCTGTAAGAGGTACGGGTGGTTCATTCTCCCCATACATGATGTTATGTTATATTGAAATTAATTTCTATGCCATTTTATCGTAGGAAAGACAATTATCTCTTCTCTTTTGGCACCAATTACAAGGTTCAGGCAGGCTTGTTCAATACATACTCACAGTTCCATACTTTCCAGTGAGCTATCATCTGCTGTAGAAACTGATAAGACTAAACCAGATGAGGGTGGTAAGTTAGATTTTTGAGTAGGGATTCGTGTCAACAGATTTAAATCTGAAAGAAGTTCACAAAAATTAGCTTACATAACTGATATCATGTGATGCTGTATTTTGACTTGAAT